GTAAGGATTCAGCCACATTGCAAACTTCAATCCTGAAAACAAACAAGTCGTGAGGGATGCTGCCGAAGGCCTTCGAGAAATCAAAAAGAATAAATATGGTTACTTGACGTAACTCGACAGTATGCCTGACATTGTCTAGGAGGCCATCCAAGACGGTCTCAGTCATTACATAAGCGGTCAGAGAGATTCTTACCAATTAGGGTATTAAGAGCGATGGAATCAAGGTGATTAAAAGATCGAGAGGTAAAAGTTTTAATTGAATTATTTGGCGATGAAGATGAAATTGAGAGGCAGAGTAGGTCATGATATGGAATGAAGGGGGAGGAAGACTATGAAATCAAGTGCACACATGGGCTGATTTGTAAGGAAGAGGTCAAGTGTTGTATGGGTGATTTTCCCACTCTTTGATATGGGATGATGTGTCGGCTTATAAGAGACTTCTGTAAGAGCAAGGGAGTCAAGTAAATCTCGGAGAGCAAGGACATGAGGAAGATCGGACAAGAGGTCGGAATTGAAATCGCCGGGAATAACTACATCATTGAAAAGCGGAAGATAAGGAGAAAGGCAGTTGAAGAAGAATCTGGAAATCGAGGCAGATGTACGATGGTAAACTACTGCGAATAATAATTTAGCATGATTAATGGATTGCACTTGAGCTATAATGAATTCCGGAGTGTTGTCAAAAATAGGATCAGATGTAGTAGGTACTTTAATTTTTGAGCCCGAGTAAGTATAAAGACCGACATAAACACCCTCCCTGCCAGAGCGATCAAACCTTTAAAAATTGTGATTTGTAAGGAAGAAGTAAGCATCTGAGACCAGAAATAGAAACAGCCTCTAGAATTGGTGCAGTAATGTATAGTCTTCGACAGGGGTGCTCGTATTAATTTACTTCATAGCTTATAGCTATATATATGCTACCGACAACGTTGCCCATTCAGTCCGTACGCTCGAGTTGGGGCGGATGGCAAACCATAATGATGAACTCGCTCATGATACCCAAGACTCTAAGGTCACATCAAGCTACTGGAGCTACACAGAGTCACGTCTGGAATTGTCCTAATTCTTTTCTTTTTTTAAGATCAAAAACATTGGTAGAACAGTTCGAGAATGGAAGATTAAATTCTCTAGAGACCAAGGAGTGAGTATTGAAGAATTTCTGGAGCAATTTTAGGAAAATAGGTGCCTGGATAGCGTCACACATGAGGAACTTCTTAATTCTATGACTTCAATGTTCGAGAAATCAGATCTTTACTTGTATCGCACCTTAAAGCCATCATGGCAGGCATACTTTTAAGGACTTTGAGAGAGCAGCCCTCAACAACTAGAGCAAGATTAGGAGGAATAAGCTTATTTACACACTCAAGGTGAGTGACAGTACAAGACTAGATAGTCTCAATTCTCATGATTTTGAGCCTCTTTAGATGTTCAAGATCAGGTTAACTTAGTCCTTAACAATGTACTTCTGAAGCTTAAGATGAAACTGAAAAACTTCACAGACACTTTGACTAATATACAGGAACTTCTAGATAAAGCTTAAGAAGCAGAAGACGACGAAGACAGTAAATGGAGATTCATGACCTCCAGCCGATCACAGTATGCTGTAACGAAAGCACGTCCGTTATCAATTTTTAAGATAGGCAAGTGAGGCGCACTCGCTCATAGCAATCGAGGGGGCGGGGGGAGGGAGAAAGGTAAAGAAATGAAAATAATTAAATATTAGACACAAATCATAATCAAAACAAAATCTAATTCTAAATCTAATCAAATCAAATCGAAATTACACTTAAATTTCAAAAACAGTACATGAACAAACCGCATAATTCTATTTATAACCAGCTTTTATAAACTCTTAACCTAATGAATACAACGGTGTTACAAACACGTCTTAACACTAACGAACACAACGGTGTTCTTAACACTTAATACAATACCAATACAATGAAGAAATTAACTAACTTATCGCGCTTACAAATCTAACAGACATACAGCACACGTCGCCCGGCAGATGACCGCGCCATGACGACGAACTAACTCAGCTTACTTAAACTAAAAGAGAAAGCCGCCTGGCAAGGGATCGCCTTGACGGTTCTCTACCTGAACAATTTATGACGCCGACCGTAATTAGGGCAGGTAGCCGGCGCGTGTACGCCTTGCTACCTACCTGACACTTACAATTACACGCTGTGCCATACCACTGGAGAGAGAGAGAGAGGGAGAGAGGGAGAGAGAGAGAGAGAGAGAGAGAAAGAGAGAGTGAGAGAGAGAGAGAGAGAACACAAAAATAAATCGGCGCGCGCTAACTCACGGTTCTGATATTTACACGGCGAATCGGTGCTAATCCTACCTATTACGAAATTCTATTCTAAATAATTTAACGAATACGGTAGGTATACGTACCCTTAATTGCGGTTACGGTGATCAGCCGTAATCGTTAAAGTCGATCGAAAACTGGTGCTCCTGGTCACTCCTGGCGTTAATGCTGCTGCTGTTGTCGATACAACTACCATGTGGTGGCTGTTGTCACTGCTGTTGGATGTTGCAGTTGCTGCTACTTGTCGAGGCAGATGTCACTTAGCACTTCACATGCAGTTTTTTCCTTTAATCAAGATAAAAGTTCGGCGCCGAAAATTAACGACGTGTACTTGATAATGGCTCAGACGATACTACTTCTAATTCCTGTGCGTGCCCACTCTCACTCTCCTATTAGTAAGCTCGCGCGCCTCGAGCGTTTCCGAATCGCTAATGAATCGATATGTAATCGATTAACATTGCAACAACCTTTTCTTTTTTTAAATCCAATTTTTAGATGGTTTTCAATGTGTAATAATGTTCGAATCTCACTAACCGGTGGTATAAATGTTTAAATATCATGAATAGATAACTCCCGAATCGATTTTTCAACTGGGGTATCCAAATAGTGCCTCGAATACTTAATTTTTTCCGTTATGATCACGAATTTTTTTCTAAAAAACTATAAGCTTAGAGAAAAAATACCAAGGAAGAAAAAATTCTTAGAATTATATAAGGAATACATTTGAAATTTTTTTAAAAGAATATTAAGAAAATTTTTTGTTTTTGCTGTTGGTTAATTTTTGCAAAATCAAAAAATTTCTCAAAAAAATCTTAAAAAATTCTCATATAGTCTTAAACAATTATAGAAATATTTTATTCTTAGTTATTTTTTCTATGTGTGTATCGCTTCAATAAAAAAAATAAATAAATATAAAACTTGTAACGGTGTGAATTCAGTTTTAATTTCTTTGTCTCGCCCGATGTGCAGTCATACCGGAAAAAGCGCGGTGAGATCGAAATAATCAAGTTTTGTTAGCTGACCGAGGAGCAGGAAGGACAGGTGTCAGTCAACCAACTTACTAATAGTAAAGACAACAATAGATTAACCTTTCAATAATGCACAAACTAGTTTATTTATCAAGTAATTTACAACGCATTTGGCCCGCGCATTTACGCTTTTACGGTGTACGCGACGATCTTACGCACCGTGATTTCATGTACAATCATTTTCTTACGATATTCGTTTGCATGCTCGCTCGCTACCGATTTTCTTGTGTTCGCAGGTGTGAGGGGAGAGCGAAGATGTTACGCGCGGTCGCTTATCGAAAACAATAACGCGAAGCTGGCCCGCTTACCTTATGCGATTAGTCGCGCTGTCGAGGGGAGCAGTTCTATGTCGTCTCTCAACGTGCGGCTCAGATTGCCACTTTTCCGCTTAGACACGAGGCTGTCTCTGTCGTTGAGCTGCTTCCGTCGGACGGATTCCACAAATTAGTGGCTGGCCTCCGACGGCGTCTCGGCTAGCCACTCGAATTCGCAGCAGCAACAAAGAACTATCGGCCGTTTAACGTTCACACGCACGCACGTCGTTGCCGGTGATAGAGGCACTTCTAGGTTCGGACACATTACTCGCGACTTTCGGGCCGCTGTACAACTCTAGCGTTAGTACTTCTGGACTCCTGCGCGTTGTTACCGGTGTCAATGGCGCTCTCCCACTGGTCCTTTTCTCTTCGTGCGCGTTCCTTCCCATTTCGGACCGAGTTCCCGTTTTCGACTTACCCGGGCCGGTAGGTGCTGTCCTCGCAGGCAGCCACGCGATCGAGACGGTAGCGCAAACCGGACGTTTACCGTCACAAACTATATAATTACAGTAAAATTACGCATTCGAGGCATCATTTTGGACACAATCAGGAGAAAAATCAATCCGAAAATAATATATTCGTCAAATTTAAACATTTATTTCATCGATTAGTGTGGTTCAAATATCATTACACACTAGAAAACTTTTGATAACTCGATTTAAAAAAAATGGTGTAAAAAATTGGTATGTTTATTCAACTACATTTTAGCCGGATAAACAATTTTTTGTGTAAATTTCGTAGGCGCCATCGACAAGAGTATCTCTTAAATTTTCACAATACGGCACTTACAATTTGTTTGACACCTGTAACATTAATTCTGAGCACTCAAAGACTAGTGTACCGAGAGTAGTGTTTGCGGCCAAAACGGGTTAACATAGCGAGACCGATGTACCGATGTATCGATCTTATATAAATCACTAGAGATGTACCTTAATATATAATTTTATGACAAATAATATGTTTTTAAAATGTACTTCTTGTTGTTTTATAGATAGATTGTAAATTAAGATAGGATAAAAAAAATTCTTGATATTGATATGATAAAACTGGTTGCGCCATAAAAAAAATACATCGAAAAACATGGTTTAAAAAGGTCACGCGATTTGCCTCAAGTTTGTACAAGACAATCATTTTTATTTTTTTAACGCATATTTCATTAATTTCGAATACTTTGAGCCGTGATTCTAAGAGATCTAACAATTTTTATGAATTATTTCCAAGATATGTCGAAGTAATTTTCCGCCGGACCGTATGCTAAATGAATTCTGTTGAATGATGTAATTTCTTTTATGTTATTATAAAATAATTGTTTTTAAATAGATGTTAATCTTAAAAACTACTTACTTGATAGTTATACGAGAGATTGATTTTTGGACCAATTATGCCGATAATTTGTTCGTTATTCAAATAACCCTTTCTAATTCTTAAATTCATAATTGGAGCTTCATATCGTGGATTTGCACCAATTAATAATAAAACATCTGCGTCTTCAAGATTACATATTTTATTATTAAAGAGATAATTTTTGCGAAAATCAACTCCAACACCACTTATTGGGAATGGTTGTTCAGTTGTTAAAAGCTCACTGCCTAAACTATTTAAGAGGTCTTTCATAGCTATTAGAGATTCTGCATCTGTCATCTTTCCAGCAATCGCCGCAGACTCATCAACTGAAAGATCTTGTAAAGCTTGTGCAACTATAAAAACAAAAATACAATATTAATATTAGGGATATATATAGTTTTCATGTCTGTTAACATATTATTAAAAGTACCGAGAATCGTACGAAAGCCAAAAAAATATTAAGATTATATAAGAGAAGAACTTTCTTTCATTAAAGTTTGTCATTTCTATTAAGTATGGACCGTACAAAATTAAAATATTGATTTTATCCAATTTGTGAAAAATACTTACATAATTGCCAAAACTACACTAATTATATATTATCATAAAAAATTAAATATTAATTCATTAAGCAATCATTTTATCAATTAAATATGTCTATATCTTTTAATCAAATGTTCATATCAGTTTTAAAAACATAAAGCTATATGAATGTTAACAATGGGGAATATATAGTCAATATGTTTTTATAAAGAACACACTTATGAATATAAAGTGTATAAAGTGAGATGTTAATATCACCTATTATTTATTATTTTGTTCGTACTCTCGTGGTCTGTCACGTTAATGAGTAAGAATTTAATTTTATCTTTGAAAATATTTATGAATATTGAGTTTGAAATAAAATTATAAATAAAATATCTAATGATTGTTTGAATTGGGCTTAAGGAAGGATAGACTTTACTCTAGATTCTTATAGCGCGAAGTGTCCCATAAGCAGAGCTTAAGTCTCTCTTGTAAAAAAGGATGTAATTCAACCCAACTTTCTCATAGCGCGAAATGTTCTATGAGTCGAGCGTAAATTACAATAGGAAAGGAAAGAATTGCTTATTTAAACACTTGAGAGAAAGAACTTAGGTATTAGCCAAGTTTATTTGATCTCGAGCGCTCACTTTGCAAGGCTAAGAGTGAATGCTAACCTCTACAAAAATCAGCGTATTTATACACAGATTTTTTCGCCTATTTTCGCAGGACAGTCCTCTTCGAGCTGTTTACGCAAGTGTGCCAAATCATTTTCTCTTGTTTACAATAGAAAAGACAGCAATAACGAAATTCTAAAGCATATAAAATTTATAGAAGTAGATATGGATTATTTAAGTATAATTTACACTTATCGTAAAAAGTATAGTCAAAAGTTATTAACTATTAAAATTAATTAATATAATAGTGCAATATTTACAATAAAATAATAAAATTTTACATATAGCAATAGTTTATCGCATGTAGAAGTGATTCCTAAAGAGAATTACTTAAATTAGGTATTTGATTTATAATCAATTTGCGTATTTTTACAAAATCTTATAATGCGAATATTAAATTAGTTAATTAAAATTAATAAATGATAAAGATGTCGTTATTATATACAAAATTAACGCTTTAGATTCATATATAATTATTTGTTTAAATAAATTATTAATTGTTTATTTATTGATAACAGTAATAACTAAGCTGTTATCAAAGAAACGAATACTTACTCATGTTTCTCAGTCATCTTGAATTCAGAGTATCCGCTTTATTATAATAATTAACATTTACAATGTAATAAACCAATTAAATTTGCACATTAAAATTTAATATGATTTGGTAGTTAAATGTAATTGAAAATATTATTAATCTATGCCCTAAAATCTATATAAAAATACTTTCTTACATTGGAATTACTCTTAATTAACGCGTTTTAATTGAACAACAAAAACTACTATAACTATATCTATAAGTAGAGTGACGTCACGCTCTTTATAAGGTCATGAAATTTGACTCTAGTACAAATACAGTCATATAATATATGAGGTGGCGGCGTTTAACATACTAATTGATGTAAGTAGATTCACGAGTTTAGTAGGTTGCAGTAATATAGTGAAAATAAGAGAATAGCTCATAGATAGGACCGTTGCAAAAGCTACTCATTCTTTTATAGACCATTATATTTTGATTGTTGCTGTATATAGATAAAGAGAATGACATAAATAATAAAAAATTATATAAAATAGTTAATATTGATTAATTTCATAATACATGATGCTAACTTGGTAACTGCCCTATACATTTTACAATACCAAAAATAGTAAGTATACCGTATAAAATTTAGTGTTTTAGTATGGAATTTATTATATTTACAATAATCTTTCGAATATCCAAGTAAAAATAGTGTAAGGAATTTTAACTAATCTTTTTCATTCTAACCGATTAATCAGTTTTCCAGCACTTACTTTCAAAAGCCGTTTTCTATTATTAAAATTATGACATTACACATATTTTGCAGAAAATGGTTAACCCTTTTGAAGGCTAATTTCGAAGTCATTTGAATTCTTTATAATTAGTTGGTATTCTTATTATTTGTAACAAGATTCTGCTATTTATCGTTGGGTAAACAGGGTGATTAGGAAATGAAATGACTACGCTATTCATTCCGTATTTAATATCATTGAATCACCAAGAAGAAAACGGTAAGTTTGAAAGTAAATACTGTAAGGTTACTTTTCGTATCCGCTTTCAGCAGCACCTGATGTAAAGTGTGCTCATAAGCCCGCTCACGATTGCTTCAAAACCAATTGAGTAAGTTGGTTCGTCCGAAGAGATTCGTTGGAAGTGATTCGTCAGTTTGAGAACAAAAATTCGGATGTAGACATAAACATACGATTGATAACGCAAGCGCTTTTTTATTACTTGACTACTCTTTGATCAATACATGAACTGTACATTTCAACACATGAGTAGCCGGGGCCCGCATTATCGTTGAGGTAGAGAGAAAAAACTATAATTTACATACTACGATTTTATGCAACTATGGAATCGACTGCGAACAACAAGTCAATCAGTCGTGGCGAATGTCGGTACACGCTAGCGGTATGTATATTTCAATGCTGACTAATTTATTACTCTTTGGTTGGTCATGTTTAGTGATATAATTTTCAATACAATATTGACCAGAAGAACGGTAGAACATGAAGTATTTATATTTTGAAAATTACATTGATTCATAGACTCATTCATTGGCACAACTTTAGCTTATCTGAAAACAAAAATATATTCAAATCATATGAATAACATAGGATCATAAAATGCGATCTTATTGAAAATTAGTTTAGAAAATTAGAAAATAATTTTATGTATTTTTGCCCGTTAAAACTAAATCTCAACTTCTTTAGTTTTCAATACGTCACATTCACGGGTATTTCAAGGTCAAATTTTTAATTTTTGTACAATAAAATTTCGAACTACAATATCGAAAATAGCGGGAAATTCTATATAATTTTATTATTGAGATATAATAAGGGGTTCAGATATAATTTTATTACTTTTTAAGTACTTTTTTCCGAATCATATTGAGGTCAAATATTGCAGATATTATACAAACATACATGTTCAGGTCAGTCGGCCTATATTTCCCAATTTTCATCTAAACATCGTTTTTTTCGTTCAAACCAACGACCAACAGTTAATAATTTATGACGTCATGGTTTTACAAACATTATAAATCAAAGTTTGGCCTCTTCTTCTAGCTCGCCCATGTACGCCAACAACAAGACGAATCCTGCTTCTCGTTAATTTATAACACGATTGTTCATGACACTTGTTATACAGGGTGAGTCATTTTAATTTCCCCAGTCTAATAACTTTTGAAACAAGCAAATTACGCAAAAATGTTTCAGACCAAAGTTGTAGGGGTTCAAGGGGGACATCTAGGGGTGACTTTGAAATTGACCTTGAGCTTGACCTTGACGGTTTTCTCAAGGTCATTTCTATTTTTTTAATGGAAACCCCTATTTCTGATCTCAGGATCAGAAAGAGCGGGAAATTTTACGTTCAAGTATCTATTTAGTTTTTTTTCATAAGAACATAAACAATATTTCAGTTTTTACTTAAGAAATTGAAGCCGCTTTCAAACATCAAAAGGTTTAACGAGCATCGAAGACCTTTGTCGTACTTCTATTCTCAATGTGAAGCAAAGGTCAAATTCTTGAAAATTCTCTTATTTTTGTTACATTTCGAGGCGAAGCTTTTATCGCATATGACCGTTGTTAAATAAACTTCCAAAGAATAAGGGACTGGCCATGTACTAACGATGCTGATGTTTAAGATCATAAACTTCCTATCTTTAGCACTACCCAGGAACAACGACGTGGACGTAATAGGATTATGTTCCCTCTGGGGTGCTTTATTAACGTGAGTCCCCTTGCCTCTCACGATTCGGGGTGCTTTATTAACGTGAATCCCCTTGCCTCTCACGATTTGGGGTGCTTTATTAATGTGAGTCCCCTTGCCTCTCACAATTCGTGATGAAACTAGAATAAACTTATTTCCTATCGGTTTTGCTCGAAATTATTACCATTTACGTCGATGCATTGCCTGAGCCTCTGTTCGAAGCTTTCAATAGTGCGCAGTAAGATATCTCTAGAGATTTGTCTACATGCAACTCTAATCCTTTCTATCATATTCTCCCTTGTTGTGGGCGCTTCGGCGAACACAGTATTTTTTAAGTATCCCCAAAGGAAGAAATCTGGGGAAGTTAAGTCCGGTGATCGTGCAGGCCAAGCAACTGGACCACCTCTTCCAATCCACCTTTGTTGGAAATTTCTATTTAAAGACTCTCGTACAATTAAAGCGAAATGCGGTCCTGCACCGTCCAGTTGTATCCACATTCGACGTCTAGTCTCAAGATCTACGTCTTCAAGTAAAAGTGGGAGATGATCCCTTAAAAGTTCTAAAATAGCATTGCCGTTGACGTTTTCTTCAAAAAAGAATGGCCCGATGAGATGACCATTAACTATTCCACACCATACATTTACACTCCAACGATGTTGATTATCGACTGGTCTGTACCAGTGAGGATTCTGATCAGACCAATAATGACTGTTGTGACGATTCAATTGGCCAGTACTATGAAACGTAGCTTTATCAGAAAAAAGGACATAATTAAAAAAATTCGGATCCTGCAAAATCATCTGTAGAGCCCACCGACAGAAATTTACTCTGTTTCTCATATCATTAGCATTTAATGCTTGCGTTAAGGTAATATGATACGGATGATATCTATTACTTCTTAAAATTCTAATAACGGTTCTTTGAGGTA